CATCCATCCAACCATCGGCTGTCCATCCGTTCATCTATCACCCATTCTTTCATCCGTCCTTCGTCTGCCTACCTGCCCATTCCTCTTTTATCTCTGTCCATCCTTCCATCCATTCTGCAGAATCAGAAATTTCTAGTTGAGTTCAGTGCATTGACTGAGCATCTAATCATGGGGCGGACAGGCCCTCTGCTGGGTGCAGAGCCCAGATGGTGAACAGAGCCAATGTGGTTCACCATATAGGCTCACAGTATAAAGTCTGAGCTGCTCCCATGGGGATGTCCCTGGCACCCTCGCAGGGAACTTAACAGGGGTGGTGTGAAAGGCCATCAGCCCACCTGCTTGGCCAGAACTGGTTCCCTCTGTAGGGCACTTCTGTGGGGTTCTTGGAACCTGAAAAGAAGACTGACACATAGTAGGAGCTCAATTAGTACCTTAGAATGAATGAATGAGTCCCGCATCCCATCACTGGCCATGCGCCTAACACTGGATATCCCTCCTTGGTCGAGAGTCCCCTGAGTCTCAGAGAGAAGAGTTGTCTGAGCAAGAGCCCAGAAAGTGCAGGAAGGACGTGTGAGTGTTGAAAATAAGCTGGGCTTTCGCATGAGCTGGGCTTTCATGTAATGATTTGGCCTTCGTACATTACCCTAGATCAGTAATCCTTAACCTTGTGCCCTCAGGGGCTCCTATATACTTTCTTTTTTTTTTTTTTTTTTTAAGATTTTGTTTGCTTATTTGACAGAGAGAGAGTGATCACAAGTAGGCAGAGAGGCAGGCAGAGGGCGGGGGGAAGCAGGTTCCCCCCTGAGCAGAGAGCCCGATGCAGGGCTCGATCCCAGGACCCTGAGACCATGACCTGAGCTGAAGGCAGAGGCTTTAACCCACTGAGCCACCCAGGCACCCCAATATTAACCCATTTTAAAAAGAATAATATTAAACACCTTATAGGTTAATGTAAGTGACATTTTTACCTCAGAAAAGTAACTATTTCCAAAACAAGAGTTTTTGATAAAAGTAGCATTGTGTTACATTTTCATAAACCCTTTAATGTCTGGTTTCACAGAAGACAGGTGGATTCCCGTAGCCCTGTCGCCATTCATTTTGTGATGTGTTGTTTTGGTTTGCGTCAGGAAAAAATATGGCCTCATGAATGTAACACTGGAAGAGAGAGGAGTGCTTTATTTTTTAAAAGATTTTTCGAGAGAGGGAGCATGGGTGTGTGAGTAGTGGGGAGGGGAAGAGGGAGAGGGAGAGAGAGAATCCCAAGTAGACTCCTCGCTGAGCACAGAGCCCAATGTGGGGCTCAATCCCAGGACCCTGATCTCATGACCTGAGTCGAAACCGAAAGTCAGACACTCAACCGACTGAGCCACTTAGGCACCCCAAGAGATGAATATTTTAAAATCCTTTTCAGAGAGTTGGGGATATCCTTGGATACCGCATCAAAAGTCAACAAGAGGTAGTTTCTTAAAGATCAGTGCAACACGGAAACTGAAACTCCACAATGAGTTTTTCATGCATTAAAATCCACTGGTCCATCTTGGCCTGCGGATGGATTTTTTTCACCATGCGAGTTGGTGCGACATCATGCGTTGGTCCTTTAGAAAACTATTATCTCGTTGAGTTAGGCAGCTCTCCCAAATGTCGGTACGTTTCATAATAAAATATCAAAATATCACATTTGTCAGTCTCTCCACTACTCAGAAATAGGAAGCTATCAGATGCAAGTTGCCCATAATTCTAATTTTAACTAATTTTAATTTATCATTGGCAACAAATACTCAGTTTTCTTCATTTTTGTGAAACTGTTGGCCAGACGCTCAAGTCTGAAAGACCATAACTTGTCTATCATTCTCTCCAGTAAAAACAATTTTCTATGGAAAAAAAAAAAAAAGTGGCTAGTTGAGCTTGTAACTTGCTTTGGAATGCAGCAGAAGTGTTTTGTGTGTATTTCACCTTCTGTGCTCGGGATTCGACAAAAGTCATCATTTTTTACGGCTTCAAGACAGATCTCAAGTGAAATCTTCACTGTGGAGGGGAGGCCTTGGGAACGCAGCAACCGTGTCTCTGCCCTGATTTGTGTTTTGAGTGGCCATCGTTGCTTTTGCAAATTCAGGGTAACTGTCAACATGGTGAAAAAGGCAAATAACACCTTAGGATCACCTAAAAAGTCTTTTTTTTTTATAAGATTTTATTTATTTATTTGACAGACAGAGATCACAAGTAGGCGGAGAGGCAGGCAGAGAGAGAGGAGGAAGCAGGCTCCCCACTGAGCAGAGAGCCCGATGTGGGGCTGGATCCCAGGACCCTGGGATCATGACCTGAGCCGAAGGCAGAGGCTTTAACCTACTGAGCCACCCAGGCACCCCTAAAAAGTCTTTTTGCTCCGTCTCCCTGAAAGGGTCTTGAGACGTCCAAGGTCTACATTTTGAGAGCCATTCCTCTAGATTAGGGTTTCTCGGTCTTGGCTCTGTTGGTGTGTGTGGCCAGCCGGCCTGAGCAACATGAGATGTTTAGTAGTGTCCTGGCCTTCACCCATGAGACACCAGAAGCCCTTTCCCCCAGCCCATCTGCTGTGACAACCAAAAATATCTCCAGATGTTTTCTGGGGGACACTTCCCCTGGGGGATAGAATCATCCCTGGCTTAGAGCTTTTGTGGATAACTCTCTACTCTGGACTGCTCTAGGTCTTAGGTGACGACAGGTTCCACCTGGGGCCCAGAATGCTGTGCTGGGAGGGACTTAAGAATCATATCCAGGGGCACCTGGGTGGCTCAGTTGTTAAGTGCCTGCCTTCGGCTCAGGTCATGATCCCAGGGTTGTGGGATGGAGCCCAGCATTGGGCTCCCTGTTCAATGGGAAGCCTGCTTCTCCCTCTCCCACTCCCCCTGCTTATATCCCTCTCTCATTGTCTGTCTCTCTCTGCCTGTCAAATAAAAAAAAGAACCGTATCCAGTTTCAGCTAGATGGAAATCAGGATTGATTAGTGATGTCTGCAATGAGTGCATGAAGGGAGTAATAGCACTATATGCTAGGATTGATTGATGATGTCTACTACAGATACAGAAGGAATAATGGAGGTACCTCTTGCCAGGCATTAGGGAGGCCCCTGGGGCTCTGTCTTCTGCCTGGGCTCCATCCTTGCCAAGCCTCCCTCCCATGGGCTGCTCTCCCCGCAGGTGTTCATTGAGGACGTCAGCAAGGAGTTTGTGGAGGAGTTCATCTGGCCCGCCATCCAGTCCAGTGCACTGTATGAGGACCGCTACCTCCTGGGCACCTCGCTCGCCAGGCCCTGCATCGCCCGCAAACAAGTGGAGATCGCCCAGCGGGAGGGAGCCAAGTATGTGTCTCACGGCGCCACAGGAAAGGTGAGGCAGCGGACGCGGGGGAGGACGGGCAGGGTGAACCTGCCAATGGGACTCAGGCAGCCAGGGTGGTCAACGGTCCTTGAGCAGTCGCACGCTTTGCCCACCCCCCCACCACCCCCCACACGTCCGAGAGGCAGGCATGTGGTGACAGACGGCCGGCAGGGTCTGAGCAGGAGGACCAGGATCCGTAGGGGCAGGTATTAGTAGTGGGAGCGGCTGTGAGCTGTGGGTTCCGTGGGCGGGCTCTGCCAACAGTGGGAGCAGTGTGCAGACTCCACATAGAGGCTCAGGGACATCCCCCACACGCCCAGGTCACACAGCACAGGTTGCCACACAATGGTAGTGGAAAAGGTCGGAAATCCGCATTAGCAAAGAGGGGGTGGTCCCAGCTGTGTGGCCCTTGGGGAGGCCCTTCCCCTCCCCCAGCCTCGGATTCTTCATTTGCAAAACAGGGGTGGGTTGGGGAGGGGCAGGGGGCATCCTGGTCTTAATTTGCACTGAGGGCTCCGGCCCAGCACCGCACCCTGGGCAGCTCCAGCCATGAAATGGATAGTCTCTCTGGGTTCTGGGGCCTGGGTGTGGGCAGGGCCGCACTCCCGCTGAGGAGGCTAGGAAGGCGTCATTCCGGGCCTCTCTGGATTTTTATAGTGATGGCTGCGCCCTTGTAGACATAACACTGATGTTCTCCAGGCACATGACTGTCTTCTCCCCGTGCATTGTCCCTCCTCCGCCCTGCAGGCATGTGTGGTTCTGTGTCCAAATTCCTCCCTTTTTATAAGAACCCCAGTCATATGGGGATTAGCACCCACCCTAGTGACCTCAACCTAACTCCATCACCTCTATAAAGACCCTATTTCCAAATAAGGCCACATCCTCGGGTATTGGTAGCTGAGGCTTCAACTTCTCTTCTGAGGGGGGACACAACTCACCTGTGGTGCACCCCCGACTTCCAGGCCCCACATGGACAGTGCAGACTGAGACAGAGCCCTGTGGGACCCCAGGCAGGAGAGCCCTTAGCGCCCTATCCCACAGGGGGGCCGTGCTCCAGAAACAAGAGTCCAATGTTGGCAACTCTTGGGCAATGTTACTCTGAAGATTGTAGTCTTGGGCTCTCAACATCACTGGACACCAAGCCAATAGCCCAGTCCAGGACTTGGCTCCCTAACAACCCCACCATCAGTAGACTGCACACCTCCCAGTGACAGAGAGCTCACTACATTACCGGCACCTTCGTGCTAACCTGACCCAGGCTCTGGCTCACTGGGATTTAAAGACACTTGCAGCCTCAATTAGGTCCAAGGACATGTGACTGGAGGGTAGCCTCGCAAACCAGGGTGACACCAGTTCATGTCTCTGAGAGCTCATGTGTTCATTCATTCGTTGGGCCGTAGGTCAGCAAGATTCTGCTGGGCCTCTAGAAAGGGCTGGACATGAGCTGGGTCTGGCAATGGTGTGGAACTCTTGGGCTCCTCCTGCCCTCAGGGAGAGGAGAGGGGATGCGTGCTAAGGCGGCTGCAGGAGCAGCGGGCAGGGGAGGGAGGGCTGATTATAGACATTGGCCCTGCAGGATAAGAAGGGTGTGCCCGGCAGAGGGATCCGTCTGTGCAAAGGCTTGGAGCCAGGAGCCTTGAACTACGGCCTCCCTGGGAGCATGGAACCAGAGCCGGCTCCATCAGGGCTGGCTTCATGTTGAGGGCCTACAATTTGGAGCACAGGGGGGCCCCAGGCCAGATGGGGGGCCCCCGGTGACTCCCCCAGTGGTGTGTTTGGGATTGTTCTGGACTCAAATGGTGGGCTTCTAAGGAAGAAGGGAACTGGCAGGTTTCTCACCCAGACCCGTGGCCCTAGCGCCCACCGACAGCCTAGTCGTGAGCACCTTTGGAGCAGGAGGCCAAAGCTGGGCTCTTTGGACAGGGATGTGCATGTCGCCTTCCACTGGAGAGCTGTAGGGCAGGGTGGAGGGGAACCCAGTGGTCCAGGACTCAGGGCTTAGGGCCCATGCAGTTGTGTTCAGATCGTGGGTCCCCTGCTTTTGGGCTGTGTGACTTCACTCCCCACGAGTCTTCATTTCCTTTAAAATGGGAGGAAAGTGGAACTAGCTCTTGGAGCAGTTTGGGAGCAATGAGCAGGATAATTGCAAAAGTGCTCGGCCCAGGGCCGGGCGTGCAGGGACTGCTCGGTTCATTCCGGACTGGAGGGGACTGCCCCACTTGTCTGAGGGTCAGATCTGTACTGGGGGCTCCTGCGGGCAGAGGAAGGTCAGTGAAAACAGAAGTGAGTGCGGAATAAAGAAGCTTCCCAGCCATCTCCTTTGCCCATATTGAAACGGGTTGAGCAGTGAGCTCCCTGTTCCTGGAGATGTTTAAGCGGAGGCCAGATCAGGATTCTGGAAGGGCTTGGGCCTGGAAAGAGTCCCTCCAGTGCTAGCCCCAGGTGTGAGAATGGATGGCATTCAGGGCTGGTGGAGTGAATGTGTGCATGTGGCGGGTCTGGCCCTGGTTTGGGAGATTCAAGGGTCTTGGGAGACACACACCCCTACCCTAGCCTCCCCCAAGCTGCCAGTAGTCACCTGCTGCTGTGTGCGCTTCTCAGCTTGACCACAGGAGGGCACCAGAGGCTTGGCTTTGAGGCCTTGGGTTGCTGACTCTGGAGAACAGCAGCTGGAAAGGCCACCACCCCCCAGGATCCTAGGGTCCTACGTGGGTCCGCAGGACTCGGGTTCCGAAAAGAACACCCCCTCCAGACGTTCTTTGGCCTCCAAGACTAGAGGTTGGAAGGCCATGGGAGGGGAGTGCTACCCGGGATCTCTATCTCCCCTGGGATTATTGGGCAAGACATACTGCTGTGCCATAGTTTCCCCTATTTACAGAAACGGGGAAAGCCACCCCCGCAAAGTCTCTGGAGACAATTTCCTAGAACTGAGGGGTGTGAATAGGGAGAACCAGGCAAGCCCGGGGTGGGGTCCAGAGAAATGCCAAGTTTGCGGCAGGAAGGTAGCGGGGAGAGGAGCCGGTGGCCTGCCGTGGCTTATGGCCTGATGGCTGGGGGCCAGCGTCTGTGACTTTACATTCCGGGAGGTGGGTTTCTGGAGCAAGTGTGGGTGGCTTGTGGCCCCAGTGGAGGAGCCGAGGCCAGGGCGTGAGGCTGGCAAGCCCAGAGAGATACCAGAGGACCCTTGGCGGTTTTTGGCAAGGGGGTCACAGTGCAGAGAAAGCTGGAGCATTAGCAGACGGCAGGGGCTCCCCCCACAGGTGGAGAAGATTCTGGCGTGGCCAGTTCTGAGGCTGCGGCCTTGTGGAAACTCAGCCCCTAACCTCTCCAAGCTCCTGAGTCGCTGATGGAGGAAACCGGGGCCTCGGGAGCCCCCGTCCAGCCTCCTAGAAGTCACATTCACGTGTGTGTTCATTCACTCCCCGAGGATTTATCCAGCACTGGCCCTCCTCCATGCATGGGCTCCGGGAGGCACCCAGGAACTTAGGAGCCCTAACCCAGCAGGGGGCTGAACACCAGGGGAACAAGAGTTAGCCAGTGACACCAAGGGGGAAGGGCACCCCAGGCCACAGGAACAGCCCTTGCAAAGGCCTGGAGGTGGGAGGCAGCGTCCCTCCCAGGGCCCAGCCAGACAGCACCTGCTACAGAGCTCAAGCTGGGGTTCACCCTCCACACCCCACCCTGTTCCCTCCCTCGTGGAGAGCCGCACAGAAGCTGGGGTAGCCCTTCCGGGGCCTCCTCCCCCCAGTTTGGGAAGAAGGGCCTGGAAATATGAGCCAGACTCAGGCAGGGGTACGGGGAGCAGTTTTGTAAAAAGCGCCATCTGTATGGTTAGCCCAGGAACAGATGGGCGGACCCCCCCACCCCCACCCCCAACCCCTCCAGTCCCTGTGGGTGCTGCACCCACACTTACATATGCCTGCATGTGTATCAGCACGTGGACACACATGGTGTGGAGGGTGCCCTACCCCGCTCTCCTGCCCCGGGGGAGCAGCCAGGAGCTGCCCTGGCGCACGGGGTCCTGGGGCTCGGTGGGCGGGGGGGACTGGACCCACCTTGGCTCTTCATCTGGGACAGAGTTTGAACCAAGGGAGGCTGTTTGGCATCTGGGAGGGTCTCTGACTCTGGAACAGATGGGTGTCCCCATGTGGGTCTGAATGGGCAGACAGCCGCCCAGCAGGCCTGTCCAGGGAAGCACAAGCTGCCATTGTACTAGGGGAACATGAAGCCGTGGGGGGAGAAATCACCAGGAGATGAGCACCCTGTGCTTTCCAAGTCTGACATGGATCTGCCTTTTGTTATAGCTGCCATTGCTAGAGGAACTGGGCAGGCACATGTCCCTGGCTGTGCCTCAGTTTCCCCACCTGTAAGGTGGGGATAATAATAGAACCTACTTCCGGGGGACTGCTGTCCGCTGTAAGGACTCAGTGAGTTTAAGTCTGGAGCTCAGACCGGTCACCTGGAGGTGAGGTCTTAGGACAGAAATGTCTGTTGGCTGTGTGACCCCAGGCAGGTGACATCACTCCTCTGAGCCTCGCTCTCGTCATCGGCAAGCCGGGGTGAATACCCCACTGGCCCCACGTGGCTCTATCCCCAGTGACAGCGAGCGCCTCGTGGGTGCTCACGCCAGGGCTGGGTCAGTGGGCAAGTGGGGTGGCAGGTTTGGCGCAGCTCCACCCCCCCCACCCCCGAGAGGCACAGGATGGTGGGGTTGGGGGACAGCCTCAGTCCCTGGGCTCCTGGCTCCTCCGCCGAGAGGGGCTGAGATCTGCGTTTCCATGCCGCCTGACAAGACTCTGGAAAATAACATGTCATTCCCGCCGCCGCCTCGCTGGGCCCGTGCAGTTTTCACAGTAGGCGAAAGGTCCCTCTGTTATTTCCACAGCTTAAGTCCCCCTCCGGGTGGCGAGCTGATGGGAAGCAGGCAGGACACTGGCAGCCCTTGCGTCTGCGCGCCAAGGAGGGGGTCACACGAGGCTTCCTTCTACAGCAGAGGACGTGGGCGCAGAGAGGCCGGGCAGCCCTCGGGGGTGGGGGCTGGGGGCCCTTGAACTAGTCCCTTCTGCTGGGACCTCAGCTTCCCAGAGCAGAGCCGAGGATAAAGGGCCCTCAGGGGTCCCCTGGTTCCACCCATTCCCCGCCAAGTGGCAGCGATTGTAGATGGGGAAACTGAGGCTCGCTGAGGCAACAGGCTTCCCAGTTTTATGGATATGAGGAGTGCAAGCACCACGGAGCCCGAGCCCCAGACTCCGTCTCTGGATTGGGGTGGATGAGGCCAGGCGGGGAGGAAAACTTGAGGAAGAGGCCGAGGTGTGGGCAGCTGGGGGTTGCCTGGGGAAGGACCGGGATCTCAGCGGGGCCAGACCCCCAGCCTCAGGCACACGCACGCCCCCTGAAGTGTGTACATACACAATGGTACGTGTCGGTGCCCTGCCGTATCCCCAAACCCCTGCGTCCCCGTCCTGCCCACACGCCCCCGCATACACATGCCCCCCCCGTACACACACACGTCACACAGCACGACGTGCACAGAAGTCGCGGCAGTCACCACCGGGCGCATGAGCCGGACCCACAAGCATCCTGTCCCGCACACCTGCACGCCCGGGGAGCCCTGTGTTCCCGTCCTGACTCTGCCTGGAGGGCAGGAGCTGGGCTTTCCCCTCTAAGACCAACCGTCATTTTTCAAAAAGTAGTACGCACCGTGGAAGGTTTCGACGTCGGGGGTGAGAGGAGAGCCATGCAGTGGGCCTGCCCTGAGCAGCCCCCCCGGTCAGTGGTCAGCAGTCGTGAGGGGCAGCTCTTGCCTCCCGGACCCCCAGACCCCCGCCCCCGCCCCTGTGCTATGGCTCCTGACCACCCCCTGCTCCGTGTTCCAGGGAAATGACCAGGTCCGGTTTGAGCTCACCTGCTACTCACTGGCCCCTCAGATTAAGGTAAGATGCTGCCCTCCCCTCGGGGTGGGTGCTGGGAGCTAAGGTCCCTGCATGGGGGGGAGGGCCGGGTATGGAGTTCGGGAGTTTCCACAGACAGGGACAGAGGGCACCTGATCCTCCGGGTGGGTGGCGCCCGTCTTGATGTGGAGAGACCGTGGGCTCATGCCAGACGCAGGGGTCCAGCACTCTCTCTGACCATCAGCCCCTCCCCGAGGTACCACCTAGGGGCCTGGGGAGATGAGAGCGTGGGACAGAAAGATGTGGCACCTTCTGGCCAGTGTCCTTGGTGTTCCCGGATTTAGCTTTTTGGGTGCATTGCTGCCCTGTTTCTGGGGTGCTCATAGCCCACTCAACCCCGGTCGGGGTCACCCAGCTAAGGCCCTAGCTCTGTCTATCTGACCCCCAGCATCCTGGAGCCCTTTCCTGGGGTGGGAATCACCAGGATCCGGGGGAATCAACCGCCCCTGCCCATCCAGCCTGACCTTGGCCCTGGGCCTGTGTCCCTCTGTCTGTCCATCCACTCCTTCCTTCCTTCCTTCCTTCCTTCCTTCCTTCCTTCCTTCCTTCCTTCCTTCGGTATGCACCAGGCGCCCACTCAGTGCAAGCCCTGGGCCAGGCTCCAGGCATTCAGAGCCATAGTGTGTAACCGATGTGAGGCCCATGGGTGATTTAGATTTTTCTAGCGGCCCCGTTAAAACAAACAAACCAAAAAGAAAATTAAAAAAAGATAAAAAGCAACAGGTGATCTCATTTTAATACTATATTTTACGGAACCCTGTGTACCTGAATAGTCTCATTCAACCTGTCACGGAGATGAAAACATCCTTCGTGAGCTGTGTTCCATTCCCGTCCCAAGTCTTTGAGATCCGTGGCAGCCCATCTCGGGTGGCACCGGCCACATCGCTGGCCCCAGGGGCCATGGGTGGCTTGTGCCACCGGACTGGGCCACACTGGCCTAGGTCTAAGCTCCTCAGAGGTCACTTGGACCTCAGGCTGAGAAAGATTTGCCTTCTAAGCTCTGACAGGGCCCTCGGGGAGGAAGGGGGTCCCTTCCTTCCTTCCTTCCTTCCTTTCTTTCTTTCTTTCTTTCTTTCTTTCTTTCTTTCTTTCTTTCTTTCTTTC